TCCAAAAACTCCCTCAGAGTAGCCTTGGAAGTGTCGGAGATTATTTTGAAATCTCTGTTGTTTTTACAGTATTAATTGCTTTGAACCTGTATTTTGGTTAGGGTTAGTAAGGGTGTTCAATAGGGCTGGGTTTGAGCATATGATGATACTGTCTCTTAAATTTTACCTGTCTTTTTTGGGGGGGATGGCAAGGAGGTGAGGCAGACATCTTCTTGGTTTGCTTTGGTTTGATTGGTTTTAACCAGGAAGAGGGGAGGTAATGTATAAGCAGGAGATGCACACACAGAGAAAAAAACCCAACACAAGGAAAGGAGATCAGACTAAACATATTTTTCCTAACTAGTCATGGATAATTGAACACAGCCTTAATCTCTCTTTTTCTTTGGCTTATAATGGAAATATAGTATGCCTTTCTATTAGTAGAGGAGTCTTGCTATGCAGCTTTACTTAATTTGTTATTTTTATTAATTTAAGGTTTGATGTGGAAAAGGAGTGTTCTAAAATTGATGAAGGATGTGAAGAAAATAACTCAAAAGCAAGATTCTTAAGTAGGCCAAGTCAACCTGTAATCAAAAAGAAAATAGACACAACTGGTAATGTGTTAGAAACATTAGAATTTTTCTTTAATTGTACTGCTGTGTTGTAGAGTATGAATAGAAATTGAAGAAGAATATTATAGAGTCATAAGTGTCTTTATGTATTTTTCAGCCCCTAGAGATGCTATAAGTTGTTAGGAGGTCAACTGAGCCTGAAGCCGTATTTGAAAAAAACCAACCTAGTCTTGGTGTTAATAATCAGTTAAAATCTTTATGTTGTGTTTAGGTTGAGAGCACTAGGTAAAGATTATAAACAAATGATAGAGGTTAGCCAACCACGCTCATCTTGCATTCTGAATTTATGCCTATAAAAGTAAATTAGGTTTTTATTATAGAAAATAAAATTTTTTCTTTCAGTAACCTGTGTTCTTTTTTAAAAATAACATACAGGTGATGACATTCAAAGTATTAGCTGTCAGTGTTTTGATTGCATCTGTGCAACTTGTTAGTTGTTATGTATACCTCTTTTTTTTAGGCATGACAAAGAAAGAGAAGATTTTTATTGCGACTCATGAAAAAGAAAAGGGCAATGAAGCCTTTGCTATTGGCGATTATGTGGAAGCAGTGACCTATTACACTCGGTGAGTAAATACTATTGTGTTCTGTTATTTTAATGACTGTTACTTGTGAATATTCTTTCATGAGCAATGTAATTAAAGCAACTTCTTACTGAAGCAACTACTGACAATTAGATTATTTTCAAAAGGGCAGAAAGATTTGACAGAAGAATACCCAAAGCACTCTTGCATCCTGGTATTAATTTTTATTTATCAAGAAGAGAAGTGGATAATGATGGGATGCAATCTGCAGGTGTCACAAGCATGGGGCACACGGGTACAGCCTGCTCCTGTGCCTTTAAGATTTCCTTCTTGAAGAATGTCCAGCCTTCCTGGACTCCTTTGCCCTTCAGGGCTGCCTCCAAAGGGACTCTGTCGACCAGGCTCATAAACAGGCCAAAGTCTGCCCTTCGAAAGTCCATGTTCTGCTGACGCCCCTCCTTATTTCTCCAAGAATTGAAAACTCTATAATTTCATGATCACTGTGCTCAAGATGGCCTCCAACCATCACATTTAATAACTTCATTCAATTTAATATCCTCTTCTTAGAAAGAAAAATCATTGCATGCAGCTTCATCATAAGACTGTCGGGGATTAGTAGCAATCCAGGAAAAAAGGTATATAAACACAGCATTAAAAACATGAGACTCTTACAGGTTGCTTGCCTTATTTAGCGCACAGTGGACTACATTCAGACTCCTTTCAGGTAGTTGTAGAGGGTGATAAGGTCTCCACTCAGTCTTCTTTTCTCCTGGCTAAATTGACACTGCATTCTGTTCTATCCGGGCACTTCTCTAACACCATTGGAAAATTCCTATTTAGAAATACTTAAATAAAGCATATTTTGTTAGTAATCTGAAGGTGTTATTTGTATATGGCTAAAAAGGAAAAAAGAGGAGTGTTCTATATAAAAATAATCAAGGTGCAGTTGTTCATTCTGTTTGTCTTGTAATGAGGCCTACTCTTCTAAGCTGAATGTAGAGAGTACTTTCTCTTTTACAGAAAAACTTTAGACCTCTCTCTCTTTTCTAAAGAGATTCAAAACTTTTGCAGAGAACATGCTCTAACATAGTTCTGTTATGCTGCTATGATTTTAAAATAAATGGATTTTGCTTATTTTTCTGCATACCTCTAGTGAAATCACTCTGCTTAGTTATTTCAGTTATACTGCAGAATCATACAATGATTCAGGTTGGAGGTGACCGCTGAATTATATTTTTTGCAAACCACCTCTCAAAGCAGGGGTTAGATGAGGTTACTCAAGATTTTGTTCAATTAAGTTTTGAATGTCTTCAAGGATGGAGATTGCACAACCTCTCTGGGCAACCTTTTTCAGCTCAGTCAGGAGTTCTCTGTTCATCACTTCTATGCTTGCTTGACTTCCTGGACATGGGAAAAGATCATGCTTGTGCTTTGAGGTAGCTGTTCCTGAAGATCAACTAGCTGTCCTGGTACCCTTTGCCCTACAGGACATTCTCCCTGTAATCTAGCCAAGCAGATTCCTGCGCAGGCCAAAATCCTGCTTTCTGAAGTCCAGAGCTATAATTCTAATACTAACCTTGCTCATTTCTCCCAGAATCTTAAACTCTATCATCTCATGGTTGCTGAAGCCAAGGCTATCATCAACTTTTGCATTCTCAACCAGTTCTTTGTGGGTAACAATTCCAACAGAGCATTTCCCCTTGTCACCTTGTTGATTGTGTCAAGAAGTTGCCTTCAATACGCTCCAGAAATCTCATAGATTTCTTGTGCCTTGTCATTTTCCCCTTCCAGCAGATATCAGAGTGATTCAGGTGCCCCATAAGAACCAGAGCCTGCCTGTAATTGTGAGGCTTCCTCTGGTTGTCTGAAGACTTAATCTGCTTGCTCTTATCAGGCAGCCTGAAGAAGGTACTTACCATGATGTCACCATATCAGTCTAACCTCTTATTCTTACCCATCAGCTCTCTTGACTGGCTTGCCAGGCTCTTGCGTGTTCCAAGACAAAGCTTCACACATTTAATCACGGCTTAGACTAGAATGCATCTTCTCCTTACCTTCCTAGTCTTTCTAAAGACTCTGTGTGCCTCCATCACGGCACTCCAGCCACACATTATCCCACCATCTCTCTCTTATCCCACTGAGATCATAGCTGCACAGACCTTTTATTCTTCTTTTTTGTTTCCCATGCTTTGTGCAGTTTTGCGCAAGCGCTTGAGATTATCCTCCAGTCATGCTTTTTTCACAAGTGTGAGAGTCTCTTCTAGTATGCTGTCCCCCTGGCACTTCCCTATTGCCCCTCTTCCCAGTGAACGTAGTTGAGAGTCCTTCTTGCTAGGTTAGCAAGGGTGTTGGCAAAGATTGTCTTGCATCACTGTCTTATGGATCTCAGTTGTCTTTATTCCTGAGGTGATCCTGTTATAGAAGCTAAAGCCCTGCCTACAATACCGGCCACACAGCCAGACATTGACCTGGATGATTCATCCACTGCTACTTGAGTCTTTCCCTTCTACAGGCAAGATCAAGGAGAAGCCCATGTGGCCCCTCATGCTCTTCAGCATAGCCTCCAGAGCTCTGCAGTTACTCTTGATGGTCTCAAAGGTTTAATTTGGCAGTTTCGTTTGAGTCTACATGGATGGCAGCAAGAAGCAATAGTTTAAGGGACAGATGAGCCATGGCGTTTTCTCTGCAATTTCTCAGATCTAAGCCCTGGCAGGCAAGAGACCTCTGAAGATGGTAAAATGTCGTTGGTGGATGGTTGCCTCTGGTCTTGCAGGAAGGAGTTTCTAACCACTATTGTGATTATCAGTATTAATATTGTTGCAATACTGTTTTCAGCTTCCAATAGTGAAGTGTTTCTACATTCAAGTTTTCTAACTATGAGCTTACTGTGGTCAATACTCCCTTTTTTCAGGAGTATATCAGTAATACCCACTGCAGCTGCATATAATAACAAAGCTCAAGCAGAAATCAAACTTCAGGACTGGGACAGTGCTTTGCAGGATTGTGAGAAGGTACTAGATATGGAACCTGGCAATGTAAAAGGTAAAGTAGAACATAAAATTGCCCTTCTATATATTACTTTATTTCTAGCAAATAAAATGGTACATATCCATTCATGTTGTTAGTTGACTTCACTGAGCTTTAGATCAAGTCCAAGTATAACAAAAGGAACAGAGTAGCTCCCCAAAGCAATTTTAACAGTATTTTCAGTGTCAAGGAAGTTTTATGCAGGCCATCCTGTTGATCTGTAATGGGTATTATGAAGTAGCATGAGACTAACTTGCTTTTTATATGATGACTATGAGCCCTCTTGTAGTTGTGCAGAGCATTCTTTCTATAATACCTACACTGATGTATTAACTACCTTAAAAGTGACATGAAAACAATGAAAATTGCTGATTTAATCCTTTCTGAAGTCAAGGGCTTGAATGTAGCTAAATGTATTTAAATGGGAAGAGAGAGGAAAAATTGAAGTAAAAGTTGCTTCACAATTCATAATTGCTATCTCATGTCATGTGAAATTGCATCATTAAAAATTATGAAGAGAACAGTTATTACTAATACAGTCATTATGAAGTAAATCCAGAATTTAAAACACTGTTTTACACTTAATGCCTAGGAAAAAAGAGTGTACTGTTAGCCGCTTTGTGCTTTAAATACATAAATCATATACTTTGCTCTTTTCTAGCTCTGATACGCCGTGCCACTGTACACGGTCAGCTGCAGAATTACCAGGCAGCTATAGAGGATCTGAACAAAGTACTATGTATTGAACCAGAAAACGCTATAGCTAAGGTAAAGATGAGTTGAATATGACTAGAGGAAGTTTGTATGCAGTTGTAGCATGAAGTTAGTACAGTTTATATTGTTTGATTTTATTATGAGTTTTGTGGACACACTTGATCCACTGTGCCAGTGGTCAGTTTTGCAAGACCACATAGGTGCCTGTGGTGGAACTTAGGTATTTGAATGTGGCTAGCTCTTTTGTTTATTACTTGTTGCTGAGAACCTGTGAGCACCCAAGTCTTCTCTATTAATGTAATTTTGGTGACAAAAAGTTTGTTGCTGAATGTGCTTACAGTTCTTGTATGTCTCAGCTGACGAAAGTTATTTGGAAATTTCTCTCAAAAAGATCCACTGGAATAGTTGTATGTAAGTTTGACACATAATTCACAAGAAAAATTCAAAAGAGATGCCAAGCTTTTATTGTTGTAGTGGTAAAGCTAACCAAAAAGGAGAGGACCTGGGTTCTGTCCTCACTGCAGCATGATGTTATAAATCCTCGTTTCTCACCTCCAGTCTAGGATGAAAGACCTTTCATACCTTCTAATGAATCTGCACCTTTCTTAGCTAATTTTGGATCTAAGAAAGCTAGATGCTTTCTTTGGAAACTCAAGGTCAGGACATACTCCTTGTACTAATATTAGCTCAGCTATTTAAGAGAGGATTGGTCCATGTCATTTCATTGGTATCTTCTTAGGGATGTTTTGTGGGTTAGAACCCAGTCCTTGCATTTGAACTCCACATGTTCTGAGAATCTTCAGTGCTAGGCAGTTTGGATACTAAACTACTCTTTTCCTGTTAATTAGGAGTCAATCGTACTACCTTACCATTTTTTTTACGTATCACTTGTGGATGCTGTGCAATTTCCTCATCACCTGAATTCTGTTCAGCTCTTACTGTTGGCACATTTTGAGCTGCTAGCAGCTTGCTTATTGTTACTTCTTTCCATGGAGTTATTTGATCATAGCTATTGCTTGTACTAGTGAGAGTAGTCCAAGCCTGTTTGTCAAATTTACCACATACAGCACTCATCCCTTCTAGGGTGTTCTTGGAGCTAAATTCCTGTCCGGAATAGTTCCCAAGTTTCACATCAACTAAGGAGTCAACCTGCCTGCTTTTTTTCCCTTTCTTTCTTTTTAAACACCTCTTTAGATTTGACTTCTGTTTACAAGACTGAACCACTAAGTAGCTTGTAAGTCTGTATTGACAAACTCCCCAACAGTCTTTGTGAAAAGATTATCAAATAGGCTGTGCTGAGACTTCTTATACCAGACATAAGATACTTGATCATTTTGAGTACACTCTTCCAGAGATCCAAATACGTTAGTAGCTTTGCTGAACAATGTTTCTGTGGCTGAAAGCAGATGTCTGTATTTTGTCCTTATCTGTGCCAGCTATTCTGCTTTGGCTGAGGCGTCTCAAGGTGACAGAGGGCTTGGCAGGATATTTTTTGAGTTGCTCTTTGCTTGGATGATCCTAAAAGCCCTCTTAAGCCAAATATGAATGTTTGGAACACATGTAGAGTGAATGTTTATGTGCAGAGTCACTAAAATAAAGGTAAAGTGCTTGTCAGTATCTGGAATTCTTCAAGGTGCTTTGTCCACATGAATCTTTGCTTGTTCTTGTCCTTGTTTTAGCTTTTTTCTTAAGGAATTGAGTACTGAAATGGCACTTCCTTGTACAGCATTGAATTAAATTCCAAATAGTGCATAATTCTGGGTGTGTCTAATGCTGCTCTGAAAATGTGAAGTGCAGTTGGAGTGGGTTTTTTTGAGTTATCAAAAGTGTTTATGGAATGAGAGGCTGTTTGATCATCTAATTTGCAGTTCTGCAAGAGGAGCAAACCTTTTCATTATTCAACAGTGTCCTTCTGCTACACTGCTAAGAAATTGTTGTCTCTCTTGGTTCTAGTTCTGTCAGTTACGTTCCTCCATCGGCTATCGATCAGACACCAAATTCTCCATAGCATAAATTTTGATAAACTGATTTTGGGCTTTTTCAGAGATTCTGGAAAGTACTTGTTTTCCACATGTCTCTTCTGAGTAGACCATGCCAGATATCACAATGGTACAATCTCATTTTAATTTAATATTTTTTTGCTTAAGCAGTTAATTTGAGTAAAGTGCTTATTTATTTGTGTGATATCTTCAGAGTTCCTAAGAGATAGAAATTGAGTGTTAATCTTGGTGCTGATACTTGAAAAAGTCACGTTTATTTTCTCTGGTTTTTTGTTGGTAACATTTATCTCAATAGTTTTTCAGGATCTTATGAGGATTATTTAACAGAATGCATTGTCTGTATATAAAGTACTATTTATATACCTGTAAGAAAAGGCTTCTGCTATTGCTGGTTTATTTTCTCAATTGCAGAAAAATCTGCTACAGACTGAAATGAAAATGAAAGGTTTAAAGCCTGTATCTGAGACTCAAGGCAAAGGAAAAAGAATACTTATTCGAGATATAGAGGATTCAGAAGTGGATGAAGAAAGATGGGAAAATACAGAAGGATGTGAAAGAAGTGGTGGAGATAAAAGTAATGTCATGTCGTTTCCTATTTAATTTTAACCTGAGGAAAAATCATTGCCTTTGGTATTGCAATGTTTATTCACACAATTCATCTGTATTTACTTGCAAGAATTTTGTCTCTTTGAAGACTAAAATGACACTCACTACTTAAAGTTAATCTGAGTATGAAATCTATAGTCCAGTTTTATGACACATGTTTGCAATTACTTCTAGAAAGGGTACAACAGAGATGTGTGGAAAATGTTGCTATGAATCACCTACTTCCCTGTATCCTGTTTAATGTTATACCTATCCTTTGATGTGGACCCAGTTGGGAATGTCTTCTGGTGTTAGAGAGCATTTTATTTTCCTTAGCTCTTTCTCTTCCTTTCTTCTTCTTTCTCTTCTCCTTGTTTTTCTTTCTTTCGTTCCCACAATCGTGTTTTTCTTCTGCATTTTTCCTCTCTTGATTGGATCAAAGGGTGTAATAATGATCACGTGCCATCTAATTTAATTTTTTGTTGTGTGTTTTGAAAACCATCAATCTTTTTTTTGGTGTTGATTTTAATGTAAGAGTTCTTATCTGTGCTCTGAAAATATATCGTAGAGGTAAACAACATGCAATTCTTGTACTGTGTGTAGTTCACAAGCAGTTGAAGTGTAGCTTCCGTTCCTGGATTAGTGTGTGACTGACTGCAAGACTGCTGAGATGAAACTCCTGGCATAATCAGAATACCTGACTTGGAGGAGGAAGCAAGGCAGCAGGGGCTATTGAGACTTGCACTGGCAGGTTGCTTTTAGATTCAGCTGTGTATCTGGGTTCCAGCCTGCAACAGTATCATATCTCTGGGTCAATTTCCACCCTTTCTCCTTTCTGTTGGTTCTTCAAGGTAATGTGGCATGACAGCTGTAGCTTTTGTGTTTCCTGTGGCCTATGTCGCTCTTTATCTTGAAATTAAATCAGTCTGTGGGTTTTCCAACTTAATTGTGAATATTAGACTGTACATGTGTGATTTAATAATGCATTTATAATAACTAATACATAATAATTTGCACACAAAATTAAGGAAAATACATCTTTCAAAGTTAGTAGGTATCCACTAAGTCTCCTCAGCTAAAACCCTGGAAGAAAGGATGGATCATGTCCCTAGCCTTAAATAGTAGTTGATTTGGGGTTGCTTTCCATTGGGAGCATTCAGGTGACTAAGTGCCTTCTAGCTGCATAGGAAGACTCCCATTCCGTTGATGAAAGGTTAGGCTTTTAAACATAGGGAAGATGTAAGCTGACGTCAATATTACATGTGTTCATGTGTTATACGTAAGTATTTTTGAGATTTAGAAGGCACGGATCTTCATAGTTGACTCTGTGTTTAAAGTGTAACTAGAAACAAATACAAAGTCAGTTCAGTTATTAAATAAATCTGATACATTCTGTGAACCTAACAGCAATAAGTAGATTAAGCATTTTATACGTCTTCTCTATACATCTAGTCAGGTACTCACAGTCAGTCCAGCAGTCCACGTAGTCCAGTCATGTAGTCATATTTATTTCACATTCTAGTTGTGAGCCTTATGCATTCCTACTAAACTTACAATTTAGAGTCTGGAAGAAAAACAAGAAAATAGTTTTTGTTTTCTTTAGCTCTGAGGAGTTGATTTCTCAGCTTTGAACAAAACAGTCAAAGAGTGTAATGTCTCTTCATCTTCATTAAATGAAATCCGTTTTGAACAATAGAAACAAAAAATTGCTTACGTCCTAGAGACTGTCAATACTAGTATTCAGGCTCTGTAAAAACTAGAAATCCTGTGTGTACTTGGCAAAGCACCTGATATTTTGACATGTTTATAGAAGTTATACTCTCAAGTGATAAATATAGTTCAAAGATAAATAAAATAAATATATTTTAAATCGTCCCTTTTAATTCATAAAAATTTGCTGGTTTGTGTAGTATTTACTTGATCTATTACAATAATTTAAAAATAATATTGTAGTCAACAGTTCTGAAATTTAGAAAATATTTTTTTGTTAAAAGGAGAATGCATTTATGGAAATAAAGCCTAAGTTAGCTTTAAAATTATTATTTCTCAACCTGTTATTGCTAAAGTTGACAACAGACCTCTCTTTAAAAGATGACATTAGATGCCTCCTTAAAAGAGGTACTTCAAGCACATGCAAGGAACCTCTTAACAGAAAAAGCTAAGTTTTGTGAGTTGACTGTGGGAAATGACGTTGCCTACAGACTGTTTTCTTTGTGCATGTTTTATTTATTACACGTCAGAGGTGAAGAGAATATTCTTCTTCTGGTTTCTTCTGGAGATCTTTTTCCCAATTCAGCGTACGTATTTTTTTATAGTTTTATCTATGTCCTCCTGTTTTGTTCACCTTCCAAATGCTGGTTTGGTACACTGACACTTTTGATATTGAAGCATCGGAGCATCTCTTTTTCTTTTGTGTTAAATCTTTCATCTGCCTTCTAGTTTCACTGCCTATGTGGTATTAAACTTATTTGATGCCACAGCAGTTGGCTACAGAGAATTATTTTATGATTTTTTTTTCCCAGCCTATTTTCTACTTCATAGCACCAAATTAAGGTCTTTGTCATTGAATTTGACATTACTGTGATTTGGAACCATTCTCAGGTTGAAGAGCATCTCCTTATATCAGTCTGCTCTCATGTGATGATATTTTTCTTTCATTTCATCCTTTTTTGGGAACGTTGCTAGGAACTGAATAGGTACGAAAAGTCTTTCTGCATCCTTGATGAATTATGTACTGTGTTCTCAACTGATCTTGACTGTGTATCATGGTTTATCTGAAGTAATGGTCTTTCTGCCCTTAAATGAAGGGAACTGTCATAATAATGATTGATTTACAGCTTTCCAAAACAAACAGGGGTTGGTAACATTCTGGATTTCTCTTGGTGATTTTCTAAACATGTTTTATGAAATGGACATCTTCAAATAAAACTGGATGCTTTGTCTTTACATTTTTACTTTTTCTTTAATTATTCCATGTGGAATAATGAAACATACATTTGACGTTACAGATAAATCTTCAACATAAGTGTTAATGTTTCATGACTTTTCATGGCGAGTAAGATCTTGGATTTCCATTTTGAAGATTCTTATTTATTGAGAGGCCGAGCTTACTGGGTAGGAGACAATTAGAGCTCCTTCCTACTCAAGCCATCAGTTGGTCTTGCTGTTATATTTTCAGCATTCCTGGTGTTGCTTTCTGCCCTCTTCTGCCACTGAGGCTCTGAGATAACTGAGACATAACCCGCTGGTAAATGCTTACTGGCTGCTCTGTATTCTTGCTCACTTGGCCTTTATGCCATATATATGAATTCATGCGTATCCAGATCTTAATTTGTAGTAATCTCTGTGACTAGATTCTTATTGTAGTAGGAAGATTGTTTTTGCCATTGCAGCCTTGAATAATTGACTGTGCCTGTTCTCCTTATGGTTAGAAGCCTTACTGATGAGGTCTTGTTATGCAATATAATAGTTATTCTAATAGTTATTCCAATAGTTCCTTGGTCCTCTTTCCAGTGTGCTTGTTCATTTGCTATTTTTGATTTTTAGAATTGTAAACTCTCTGAAGAAGGAGCTCTCATTTAGAACTGATTTATATGCCATCTGGCACAATAGAACCCATCCTACTGTGGTTTTTAGGCTCTATTGCAAGCTAGTGATATGCACATTTAGATAATGTTAAAAGAAATAGTATTGAAAATTAACTCTAGAGTTGCATTTGCTGTGCGTATCCTGAAGTTAAGAAAAACTCTCAATTTCAGTGCCATTATAAATGTTGACCAGTAAATCTTCTTTCATTCTTTATGAACAAAGACTGCTCCTACGCAGACAGAGATCAGAGTTATTTGAAAAGTCTGTTACGTGTTCTGTCTCAGAACAATCCAGGTATAATCTCAATCAGCTAAACCAAGAACAAATAATACAGAACAGATACTTGCTGACCGCATGGGACAGAACCTCACCCCCCCAAAAAAAAAAAAGTAAAATTAATAAAAATTAATCTGTGACAATTTGGATCATTCCAGTTGTCTTCATATGTAGCTAGTCTAGAGCAGATAAAATAATTGAAAATGTTTCCTGGCTTCCTAATAGATGAATTCATTGTGAGCTAAACTTAGATATGTTGCTTCTCATTCTGCCACCACTAATTTTGTGCCATCCTTCTAGAGGATAGATACTTTGTGTAGTTGAGAATTAATTTTAAATGAAAGATGATGTAATCCATTACAAAAAAATACTTCAAATATTCCTTTTGGAGTATTCAATGGCTTTTGTTTTATGACAGTCCTAACATTAGGTTCACTATTTTAGTACTAATGAATTGAAATTCTTTCTAGTTTGTATTTGTTGTCATTCTGGTCAAAATCCTATCAGACTTTTCAGTACCTTTCTTTAACTTTTCTTTGGAATTTATAATGTATCTAGAGTTTAAAAAAAAATAAATAGTTCGTAAGTACTGATTTTTTTTCTTAAGGCAAAGCCCAGAATACTGCTCTCATTAATACATTTCTCTGTAAAAGACCAGTACAGGAATATTGTTTCTGTTATGAACACTAAAACTGAAAGACAGTGAGAATTAGATCTGAGACTGTATCTGTACAATTTTGTGCATGATGTTTACTCAGTCTAGAAATATTTAGGCAATTAGCATAACCATACAGCTAAACAAGTTAATTATGAGTATTCTTATTTTCAGAGGGACTCCAAATGCTATGAATGTTTCTTGTTTAATTCAGGATTGGTTCTGTGTGCTTCATCTTCAAGAATTTTTCCCTTGTATTCAGGAAGTGACATTTGCATTAATGACATTCACATTTACATCACACATTATCTGCCTTTCTTGCTTTTGCTTTGTCTCTAGCACTTGGGATGATTTTCAAGAGTGTTTTGCTGTAGAAATTCTTCTGAAAACTTGTCCTATCACCTTTTTGTCCGGGGCACTTAAAATTGTTTTTTTCCCTTTTTTTCTTAGTAGAAGTTTTATGGAGTAGTCTCTGTTTTGGTGGGTGTAAAATAAAAGTATTCTAGCATATATCCTAAGAAAATTTTTATTATAGTAATATTAATAGAGTCGAGTCTTCACTCATCTGCCCAGCTATCCTTTTGCCCTCATCCTCCCTACCAAATAGACTTTAAACCTTTTTTTTTTTTTTCCTTACTTGGCACTGCCAAACTGGATAAATGGTGGGTAGAAGTCTCAGATATAAAAAGTTTACTTTAAGTGTTATAAAAATGTCTGTGTGGGTAGAATAGATTCATTCTATCATTTTTCCCACTGTGAAGTATGAACTTATTATTAAACACAGTATTTCAAAGCAAAAACCACAGCTGGGAAGGATGCAGTTGGAGCTTTTGTCTATTAGGTATTAGAGAATCAATTGTTTTTAAAGATCTTAC